CGCACCTTTAATTACAGAGATATATGTCGCTTGTTAAGCGAAATGTCGCTTAAACTAAATAACCTTTCACCCATCGAATTTAATCTTTTTTTTTTATATCTATATTAATATATAAATCAATAGTGGTTTTTACGGATGTTCCGTTATAACTACTGAACTATGCATCCGATTGACTTGAAACTTGGTATCCATGTAGGAAATACATGTACTTAATGATTAGACTGATATTTATATGAGTGTTGGACTCTCTAATAATAATGACAATCACTACATAATATTAAACAAAGTCGCTTTCTCTATCCCTATATTTATCTGTCCCTATGTATGCTTAAATCTTTAAAACTTCGTAACGGATTTTGATGCAGTTTTTTTAATAGATAGGGTGATTGAAGAGGAAGGTTTATATGTATAATAACATCCATTAAATAGTGGAGAAATCAATAATAAATTCCAGTTTCCGAAGCGAAGCGAGGGCGAGTCGCTAGTAAATAATAATGTTAATTTAAAATGCCCAGCAAAACGGGCGAGTACGGCTAGTCATCGTATATTTTCATTATTCTTCTTCTTTTATCTTATTTTTATAATTTCGTACACATTATTAGCTTATCATGTTACATATTTTCAAACACAGGTTCATTGTCGCGAGCGTCTCAAGTCACTATTAAAAATACGTTCTAATAAAAAAATCTTTAACTTCGTTCCATTCCAACAACGTAATAGCCAAACCCGCGAGCCAAACGAAGCCGATCGCCAAATAAAACAAAAACCTAACCTAACACCAATACAATAATAAAATTGAAAGTGACAAAACAATATGTAAATAACATTATTTGGGATTTTAATGCATCGTCATTGAAGCAATTTGTTCGGTACAAGGCCGCCATGATTGTATTTCTTTTTTCTTGTTTATTTATTGTGAGGAATAAGGAGAGCTTTAGAGAAGATAATTATTGTAGATTTTTTGTTCTGTGGTCGCGATTCTTGCACATACAAGATTTTTTGGCGGGAACGCGAGGAGTGAAGTTGTGCGATTTGTTTTATTTTGTCTATTTAGTGTTTCTTCAGTTTTAAATGTGTAATAACGGTGGTTTATTAACTGTTTAATATCTGTGAAAGTACACAAATGTCGGAAAATGAAACAAAGCCGCTGGACGTAACTTCTCGAGATCCTCTAAAAAGTCCACTGAAAAAATCTCAGTAAATGACCACCATTTTACTGAGATTATATTTCATCACATTTCACTTAATTTCATCCCAATTGATTAATGTCTCAAATTAATCATCTTCATTTCATTTCATTTCATTTCACGCCCTATTATCATTTTTCATAAAAATAAGCATATAAATTAAAATAAGACATGACTTAAAGGCCTTAGTTACCAAGTCATAAAATCCCTTTAAAAAATTGCACATACAGGTGGATGTATGTACTATGATCTCTTTGCTTCGGCTGCATGCTTCATGGCTATACTACTTTTAAGTACAATTTCTGTCGCGTAGTACGTTCTGTTTTGAAGAGATGCTTGGACAGTGCTTTTTCGATTAAATCTGTGCTCTTGGGCCCTCTTGGAGCCAGATGGGCCATGAATATACTTAACCATTTAGTAATACAAACACTTTTTGTATCCAATAAACATACCGAATTTAATGATCCATTATTTATTTTATTTATTTATTACACTTCATGTAAAATTTACATTGGCGGACTTAATGCCTAAGGCATTCTCTACCAGTCAACCAAAGGTAGTGCAGAGTGGATAGTGGTAGGTGCAATGAAATTTATATTAAGTTACAAAAAGAATATACATACATACATAAAAACATACCTACACACATACATACATACATACATATAATAGTTATATAGTATTAAAAGGAATATATTAATAAATTATCGATAATAATAAATGATTATCGCGCATGGAATCGATACATTTTGAGTTTAATCAAAGATATATAAATTTAATGCAAATTCCAGTATAGCATGTTTAATAACAATAAGAATATGTTAAAAAGCAAACCGAAATAACAATTAATTTCATCTTTTATTTTATCCTATTAATACCGGTCAGTATATTAGATCGGAATAATTTTTTATTTTTTTTATTGCTTAGTTGGGTGGACGAGCTCACAGCCCACCTGATGTTAAGTGGACCCATGGACATCTACAACGTAAATGCGCCACCCACCTTGAGATATAAGTTCTAAGATCTCAGTATAGTTACAACGGCTGCCCCACCCTTCAAACCGAAACGCATTACTGCTTCACGGCAGAAATAGGCAGGGCGGTGGTACCTACCCGCGCGGACTCACAAGAAGTCCTACCACCAGTAAAAATTATTATAATATTATAAATTATTATTTTGTCATCGGTCCTTAATGCGTGTGCGTGTTTGATTTTCAAGTTAATCCAACGTCTTGAAGTCGATGGAAATGACATTCAAAGATTACATTACATACGAACAAACATAAGCACAATTAGCTGTACCCGTCCGCTTCGCTGGGCATTTAAAATTAACATTATTATTTCTCACCCCCACAAAGATTCTCATCATTAACGCACCCGCAACTGGTGTAGAGAGTCCAACACTCATATAAATATTATCCTATCCATTAAGTACATGTATTTTCTACATGGATACCGAGTTTCAAGTCAATCGGATGCATGGTTCAGTAGTTATAACGGAACATCCGTAAAAACCACTGTAGATTTATATATTAGTATAGATTATACCGATCCAACAATAGCTTATTAAAAAATGTACTCGTAAAATAAATTATTATAAAAAAAATATAAAAACTATTTTAAGCGCGACTCCACGTCTTTCTCGACGATCGATCTGCATTTTGAAATTGGAACGTTACCGAGCCATAGACAATAATGATGGTATCGTTAGCCGTTTAGCATAGAACACGAATAGTAAGGCGATGGAAACCAGACCTTTCCTTGTTGTAACCAAGTTTGCTTTGTAACAGACTTATCACTGCATTGTCTCTGGATTTAAGCTTGTTACAAATATTTTCGTGACGCACAAGAAGAAATCGTCGAATTTTGAAGTCGTCGTGGCCTAAAGGATAAGACGTCCAGTGCATTCGTGTTGAAGCGATGCACCGGTGTTCGAATCCCGCAGGCGGGTACCAATTTTTCTAATGAAATACGTACTCAACAAATGTTCACGATTGACTTCCACGGTGAAGGAATAACATCGTGTAATAAAAATCAAACCCGCAAAATTATAATTTGCGTAATTACTGTTGGTAGGACCTCTTGTGAGTCCGCGCGGATAGGTACCACCGCCCTGCCTATTTTCTGCCGTGAAGCAGTAATGCGTTTCGGTTTGAAGGGCGGGGCCGCCGTTGTAACTATACTGAGACCTTAGAACTTGTATCTCAAGGTGGGTGGCGCGTCTACGTTGTAGATGTCTATGGGCTCCAGTAACCACTTAACACCAGGTGGGCTGTGAGCTCGTCCACCCTTCTAAGCAATTAAAAAAAAAGGCTTAATCGATCGTTGTTATATCGTAGAATAGAAGAAATGCAAGAAAAAAAATCGAACGGAAAGGCGAAACCATTTGAAGGTTAAAATTAAGGTTAAAGTTCAAACAATAAAGTTAAAATTAATAATAAAAAACTTCGTTAACTATTTGGATGCGGTAAACTTCACTGAAGTTCAATTTAAAACTTTGAGTTTTTGACGCTAATGTCAAATGAAACGGACTTTTAATTACAAAGATGAATGTCGCGTGTTCAGCGAAATATTGGTACCTACTGGTGATAGGATCTCTTGTGAATCCGCACCACCGCCCCGCCTTTTTCTGCCGTGAAGCAGTAATGCGTTTCGGTTTGAAGGGCGGGGCAGCCGTTGTAACTATACTGAGACCTTAGAACTCATGTCTCAAGGTGGATGGCGGCATTTACGTAGTAGATGTCTATGGGCTCCGGTAACCACTTAGCACCAGGAGGGCTGCGAGCTCATCCACACACCTGCCCTGAGCAGATTCCGTAGAAAAAAATATATAATTATAATAATAAAAAACGTTAAAACTAATTAACGCTAATAGTAAATGCGAGGTTAAGTCGTAAAAGTAGAGTTTTATTTGTGTCCACGACCCGCTGAAATCGAAGAGAGTATTAAATAGATATTATGTACATATTTTGTAAAAAAAATTCTTGCACTAAACGGGTCAACGAACTCGCGGCTGACGCAGAACTAAATGACGACAGAAGCCCGCTGAGAGACAACAAAACGTCACCACCCATCGTTAGATTTAAGCGCGAAATCGTAATTAAATTGCATAGCGGCTGTACTGCCCTTTAAACAAAACAAATTACTGCTTCGCGGTATAAATGAGCATAAATGGCGGTACCTACCCGTACGGACTCCCAATACTACCAAAATAAGTACTAATAGACAACCTTCTGAAGAAATTTTAGTACTTCTCTGCTATATCTACATTGAAGTAGTATCTCTTCCTTAAATCCCAATCTAACTTTCTCCATTCCCTCACCCAATCTCTACTTTCGGTTAAATAAAAAAATCCTAAGCATAATTCAGCACAGTGCAGCGCGCACTGCCATCTGTTGTCGAGTAGCGGCAACAATGTCTATTTATAAACCTTAACCTTGTCTATGATCATTTGGCACAAGTACTTGAGTGAAGTTCAGTTTTGACAGTTGTAATGTAACAGTGCTCTTCGTATATTTTTTTTACCTCCTTGCATTTTGATACCAAAATATTAATTCTTCATATTGTAGTATTACGTGAACAAGATGAAAATAAGAGCCCACGCACTCCGGGAAAGGTGGAGTACGACCCGCTAGCATCGGTAAGTGCACGTAAAACGCTAATAGGCCGATTTTGTCGCTGTATTTTTAACTGATTAAAAAAAAGTGTAGTCAATTGCCTGTTAACCTTTTAACTAAAAGCGGGAGACGCGTAATTTGACGCTATGCGGTGTATAATTTTATTACTATACGCTCGGCCCCGCATACANCCACGCACTCCGGGAAAGGTGGAGTACGACCCGCTAGCATCGGTAAGTGCACGTAAAACGCTAATAGGCCGATTTTGTCGCTGTATTTTTAACTGATTAAAAAAAAGTGTAGTCAATTGCCTGTTAACCTTTTAACTAAAAGCGGGAGACGCGTAATTTGACGCTATGCGGTGTATAATTTTATTACTATACGCTCGGCACCGCATACATTACTCGCCTGTCCGAATAAGAAGTCAGTAAGCATTTGAACAGCAACTAAAAAAAAAATATTCTTTACTTATCTCGTGATTGTTTTGTTATCTTCATTAGTACCAAAATTCACGTTTAAAACTCACGATTGGCGCTAAACCGTTTGATAAATAACGTTAACCGCGCATTACTATCTAAAACTAGTAATATAAAAATGTAAATCCGAAAAAAAATAATCAGTGACTGGCAAGCTTATAATTTTGTCGCGTTGTTTCGAAAATCGTGCGTGTGTATTTTAGGACTAAATAGGAGCGAAAATGCAGGTGAGTTTTCAAGTTACTTTTGTTACAGGCGAATTTGTTTTGTAGTTATTCCAAATTCTTAATCAATGAAAATAATTTCACTGTTCTATTTAATCTTTGCTAATAAGTACAGTTTCTTTTTTTTTTAATTGATCAAAATTTTATACAGCATTTAAAATACTCTTGCACGAATCCACTTGATATAAATTTTAAATTATTTGATAAATACGAAAATATTAATGTAACTGAGATTAGCAATTGAATAAAAATTCAAACGTAAGACTCACTTTCTGATATACCTAATCAATTTAAAAGATAACTTTCAATATGTACTTTATATAAATAAAAAATATATATAACAAAAAAAAAAGATAGTGTAAAGCAAAAGGTTTGAAGAATAAACTATACCTACTTTATAATATTTTAAAATAATCAATGTCTCATTACTTTTTTTGTCTGTTGTATCTATTAATTTTTTTATGGATCCAGTATCTAATCTAGAGCCAATATTTTCAAGCAACAGACATGCTTCTAATAATGTGATTCGCCTGATGACAATAAGTTCTTAATGATAATTATTAAAATTAAGACACTTTTAAAATTAAATTAGTTTTGTAAATTTACCATTTTCTGTATGTATTTAATGAGTTTATCAGTGACACTTCAATATTTTATTATATCTAAATGTCTTTGCCTGCTCCATAATATTCTTGTTTTACTCGATGATCGCTTATTGATAGATACATTGTTCTTAACAATAAAACTGTCTTGTATACTGGATGTGCCATATTTATTTATTCGTGTGAATAAAGATAAAGCAAAAACTTACACAGATAATGAGATAACTATAAAAATAATCGATTGATAGAATGTTTCATTCATTTTCAGTGTAGGAAATGTGAAATTTATTATAATTTATGTAAAATAATCGATGTCAACTCTTCATTTTTATGTTTTAAGCAACGAAATCATTCAAATTATACTCTATTTTATATTATTAGTCAAACAAATCGAATATAACCAAAAGCGCGCATAATTTATTGACTACACATTTTACTTGTACAGTTAGATTAAAATTTTGAGAGTGCTCATCAATGATCACGGTCGATATAATAATTACGGTCAGTTTGGCCGTATTTAAAAATAAAACCAGATGAACTTTACATATTTTCGTGAGACACCCAGAAAATGCATTAAAATCGAAACTCTGAAGCATAAACAAAAAAAAAACGTAAATTAACCAAGACATCACGATCAAACAGCCAGTAGTCGATGTTGATAATAATCGTACCGCTTTTTTTTGTTGCTACAACAAAACTGCATCTTCGACCTCATGTCTCAAGGCTGGGACGCGCACTTTGCAATATCAAAGAGCTTCGAAGGCACGTCAACGATAATACAATAAAAAAAATTTGACACTTCAATATATCATGGCTACTGCAACTATAAATTCTCTTCCATTAGATTGATCGCTTACCATTATTTATTAACGACCATATTTTCTGTACGTACGTATTATATTCCACATTCACGGTGAGCCTGTCTCGACCGATGCTCCCGCGGCAGGCGTATGTATGTATACGCGCCATATTAATCGCGAGGTGTCATCAATTAAAAACGTCACATTTTTTTTTTTTAAATTGATCGCGAATGAGTATCGTATTTCATAAATGCGTAATGCCGGGGCGTGCCGCGATAAAATATTTTGTATTAATTAGGCACGAGTTGGTAACGAATACCGTTTTTAAGATCACTTGACTGATTTACTGGTGGTAGGACCTCTTGTGAGTCCGAGCGGGTAGGTACCACCGCCCTGCCTATTTCTGCCGTGAAGCAGTAATGCGTTTCGGTTTGAAGGGTGGGGCAGCCGTTGTAACTATACTTGAGACCTTAGAACTTATATCTCAAGGTGGGTGGCGCATTTACGTCGTGGATGTCTATGGGTTCCAGTAACCACTTAACATCAGGTGGGCTGTGAGCTCGTCCACCTACCTAAGCAATAAAAAAAAAATTAAAAAAAAACTTGAACACGAAATTGTTGAAATGATCCGCCAAATGGACATTGTACCGGCGTATTTGGTGCGAGTTTTTTAACGTTCTCGATCGCGTAAAAGTTAACTCTGATTTATATGGAGTTGGAACAGCGCCCCTAGCGGCAAACGTTGGCAAACGTTTCAACTCCATACAAATTTGAGTTAACTTTTACGCTGTCGAGAACGTTAAAAAAAATTCGCGCTAAGCACACTGATCTCGTGTTCCATCGAAGTCTCACAATCGAGAACCGAAATGGGCGAAGTTAAAAATGATTCTCACGGCCAAGTGGTTATCGGATTACATCCGTAAGTACGCCATTCATTCACCTTGAAACGCGAGTCCCAAGTCTCACTTTATACAGTACAACGGCTGTCCCGCCCTTCGAACCGTAACGCGTTACTGCGGTAGAAATGGGCAGGGCGGTTGGGCATAACGACTGCGCGTCGAAAAAGTCTGGGCACACGCGGTATTTCCGGGCAGGAAGCGTGTTGTGTTTGAAATAATGTTAGTGGCACTGCGAATCCACAAGCGTTATCTACGAGATAAAAATGAACGTATGTTATATTGATTTTAACGTATCTATCATGTCTGACAGGTAAATTATATTACGAATTATTATTAAGTTTCTTAACTAGAATATTTGGTGCGAACGATAAGGCCATTGGTAGGTACTTACTTGACTCGAAAACCAGGTCTAATCTTCTAAGGCAGCGCTTCTCCACCTTTTCTCGTCCCCTTTAATAAATTTTTTGTTTATGAGTACCCCCTCTCCTGATACGTCCATGCTTGTTCCGAAAAATGGGTCTAGTTTCTCTTAAGATCTATCCATCGGTCGAATTCTATATATTAAGCTATTAGTTATAAGATTAGATTTAAAATTAAAAATTGTTAATATAATCCATTATAACAATGTTCATATAAGTTATAATTTCTCAGTGTTCCCGACATTACCAATGTAATTTTCACGTACCCCCAATCGAAGCAGCGTATCCCCGGGGCTTATCGTATCACAGATTGGGAAACGCTGTTCTAAATGTAGTTTGAGAGGGTTTTATTTCGTCTCTATCTTTTGTATAGGTTTGTGAGCGTTATTACTTTTTTGGTCAGGAGGAAATCGTCGGACTTCCGACTTCCACTGGGGATGGCGGGCGGGGTATGTCAGCAGAGTCGAACTGACTAAAACCTCCTGTCGCTCAACAACCAACGTCCTAACCTCGTATGAGACAGAACTCATGAAAAGGCAAAGGGGGGAATGTAAAGCGTTTAGTGCGGAGCACATCTATCCCATCACCTTCCCCCTAGCGGGGCGGAGCGGTATTACTTGGCAGGTTACTGTCACAGTTTTTAATCTACCCCCCTAAACTTGCTTGAAATATCGGGAAGACGTTAAAACTAAAAATAGCCATATTCCTGTGAAGTCCTCCTATAACTTGCGTCGATAATCCTCAATGCTGAGGGTCGTGGCCTCCCTTAATAACTATCTTGGACTACCTAGTGAGTGATCCGTGAAAATAAGTCTTATAAAGATTATATACTGGTGGTAGGACCTCTTGTGAGTCCGCACGGGTAGGTACCACCGCCCCGCCTACTTCTGCCGTGAAGCAGTAATGCGTTTCGGTTTGAAGGGTAGGGCAGCCGTTGTGACTATATTGAAACCTTAGAACTTATATCTCAAGGTGTGTGGCGCATTTACGTTGTAGATGTCTATGGGCTCCAGTAACCACTTAACATCAGGTGGGCTGTGAGCTCGTCCACACACATAAGCAATAAAAGAAAAATATATATCCTTCGTTGCTGTCAGTGCTTACATCTGATGCCAAGTCATTTTGTGGGCATTGCGCACTTGCAGAATTATCGTTCACACATTGCACTTGACCTTGGTATGAGGTTCACGATGCTTCGACCGCTATATAGCTTCCGTCTTCAAGCGAGCTTATTTTAAACATATCTGTCTACTAGCGTCTAGGCTCTATAACGACGGTTGCAAAATTGCACCGAAATATTGGGAATTCGTCGTAAAAAAAACGTGGTAAAAATCCATTCAAAAATTTTGTTTTTGGAACGAAGTTCCTTACGGCAGGCTTGGAGGGGATAGGGATTTTGCTGCGCGACCGAACTGAAAAAAATGTGATAGTAAAACCGTAAGAAAAAATCCGTGGAAAAAGTTCGTGGAATAAAACCGTTAAATGAGACGTGCGCAGGCGCGACAGTCGCATACACAAGCGAGTAGTGTATAATACCTTTCTCCTTCTTTCTTTTCGTTCTCTAATCCCTTCTCTCTCTCTATTTAGTAATTATTTCTATAATCAGCAAAATTTAAGAGAAAAACCAAGAAAACCTACATAAAATTGATCACCATTTTTTTTTTGCAAATTGTGTCGATTCTACATTAGCCGAAGGAACTTCGTTCCTACCTGGTGTCCCACGACACCATTTATTTATTTTTTTATAATTGTGGGTAGTCGCGAATGCTCATAAAAATCCGGGAATCTTGGATAAAACAACAGAACTTTGCAA